TGTTTACTTAATGAAAGCCCGGGCACCCCAGCTGTGCCTGGGGACTGCAAACACTTGCACACACTGAATGTTCCAGTGCGCAAGAAATGTACATCTGAGCCAGTTGATACCAGCAGATGTTTTTGGAATGAAATCCAGTCAGCCATGTCTTGAGGGAAGACTCTTCTCATGGTAACCCATCACCTGTTTGAAGAGACACCCTCCCTTCCTCTCCCCTCTGGGAAGGGCACACGTACTTATACAGATGGCTGTGTCAGTTGCCTATTGCGCTGTGAATTACTTGATAGATCATGGTTCTGGTTGGAATGATTAACCCCATTCCTCTTACAGAATAATTGTTGGGATCGCTGGGGTCCTTTTTTGAAGCTGGTTAGATATGTCCTGGAATTTTATAACCCACCTGATTTGTTTCATTTCAAAATGAAAAACTAATAAGGCAGTTGCCATTTGAATGAAGAATTTCCTATAGGGTAATTGTTTCCTACTGGATGTCAGTATTTCAGGTTAGGTACTTAGAATTGCTTTTTAGCTTTATCTTTATTCTAATATGAATTAATATACTCTATTGAGAGCAGTGTAAATTAACATTTGGATTAATTAAGATTACCATTCCTTAATAAAATGATAACAGGTAGTAATATAGCAAAGCAGTGTTTTTAAGAGACCTCAGTAAATAATCTGGGTACCTTTAACACAGTGAATATCTTAGGTCTTGTGTCTTTTGTTCCACAAAATACTAAAATAGAAGGTTGTAGCCACACCCCTCCAAAATGTATAATGCCATCGCACAGGTGTAGATGCAGTCACTTTCCTTGGACAGGCTTGGGATTTGAGAGTGGGGAAAGTGAGTTTGGCTTGGGCTTCTAACTTTGCAAAGTCCCATTGACTATCATGTGGCTCTGAAGGGAACTGAACCGCTCAGACAAGGTTCTTGATGTGTATGACATTGAAATTTACTTTACAACTAGGTTACCCGCATTACAAAATATTATTCTTTAATTTTTTGGAAACCATTTAAAAGTGACAACCTTTAAGTGGCTTCTAGGGCATAAAAAGACAACTGTCGGGCAGGTGGAACCCACGGGCCAACTGCGTTGTGTAGAATGAAATGCTAAGAGGTCGGCGATCCATATAAAAGGGAAGGTTTTTTGAGGTCGGGGATCCATATAAAAGGGAAGGTTTTGCTTTGTGTCTTTTCCAAGGAGAGAAGTCATTGTACGCTGCCATGGTCAACAAACTCCTGAAAGAGAAAGCAGGTTTTGAGGAGGCTTTCCACACAGTAGACCACCTAGGAGGGAGTGGGCACAGGGCAAGGCTGGTCAACAATTGCTCCTTGGTTCGTTTGTTTTCTGTGTGGGGACTTTTCTTCTGTTGAGTTTTCAGAGGGAGACACATGGTCCTTATTCCTGACTTCTGATCTTAGTGATGTAGAAAGGCATAGAATAATCCTGTGCATTGGCTGAAAACCACCAACTTACTGACAGGGAAAGGGAACCCAGTGAAACGGCCTCAGATTAATGAGTTATCTAGACTAGAGCAAGATGTCTTATTTTTATTATTTGTTCAGTTTTTACACACCTTCCACCTATCAGATATCATGCTAGGTACTAAGATTAAAAAAAAAAAAAAAAGCTGGCAAGAAGTTAACTATCCTCAGAGCACGCATTCATTTTGTGATCCTAGTTTGTTTTAAAACAAAACAAGCATCAGTACGGGGAGAGAGATCTGTAACCCTGGCATGCAGTTTGATCACCTGAAAAAATTAAAGCTTACATCCGCCATGCGATCCCGCACACAGGTCCTGATTCGTTTTGTCTTGGATATGGCCTGGGCATACAGTTTGGGTTTTGTTTTGTTTTTTTTTAAGAACTCCCCTACGTGATTCTAGTGTACAATCAAGGCGAACCTCTAGCACAAGGAGAGCTGGACACAAAAAGATGCACAGAGCAATAGCATGGAAGGAACCAAGGCAGCCTCTAGTGAGTAAAAAATGTACAGAGCATTTCAGAGCATGCCTCTTTGCAGCTTTGGAACTACCCTTCTAGATAGGACTACAGCCACCATGCCAGCCTGCATAGGGGAGTGAGCAGGGACAAAGGCGGTACCACAGAACAGGTAGATGCTCACATGTTGCCGTCTGGATCTGAAGAGGGAACTAGCATTGTATTTTAATTTATAGAGATGACCCCGCTGGCGTAGTAAGCTCAACTAATGGTCTCATAACTCCAGGCAAGAAGCCCAGTTACTGAGTCATTGCCAAGTCCACATGAGAAATGATTAGGGCCTAAATGCCAATTAGTGGCCATGAATCTGGACAGGAAATGACTGTTCATAAGATATTAAAGATGTGGAATTAACAGGATGTGGTCACTGTTGGTGATTAAGAAGACTGTCTTCCTGATTGGGTTACAGAATGACTAGAATAGGGATGCCAGGTATCTGATAGGAAAGAGAGACGTGGAAATCTTTTGATTTGTTCACTTTGAAATATCGGTGGAAGTGTCCACTAAGAATTCTCTAGTTAACCTTCCAAATGTAGGAACGAGAGTGAGAAGTGATGCTTCCCTGAGATGTGACAAAGGAGTCCACAGTCTGTCACAAGCTTGCCCGAGTGCGAAATGCACAGGCCTCAGGGACTCAGCATGTAAGGCGTGAGCACAGGAAAGCAGCTGGCATTTTGGCTCCCAAATGGGTTCAGGCAGTAATCGAACCAGGAGGAAATGATGTAAGAGGAAAAAGCAGATGTAGAAAAGAAAAGGGAAAATGAGAATTAGAAGCTTCAGAACAGTCAAAAGAGCCTTAAGATATACCTCATGCCAATAGAGTGGATGGGTCAACATCCAGGGAATGCTGGCTTAAGACTAAATTTCAACTCCCTGTCAAAACGTGGAGAGAATAGAGTTAGGAAGCCCTTTCTCTCCTCCTAACATACAAAATAGACAAAAATCTTTAGTTTTAAAAGTATTTCTAATTGGTAATCAAACTCAAAAGAAATCTATTCTCCATATTCCCAGAATGAAAAGGGAATTAAAAATCAAAGGAAGGAACAAGTAAATGCTGTGGCTGAGAAGCCCAAGAAGGTGTTACACTACAGGTACAGGCTACACACACACACACACACACACACACACACACACACACAAAAAAAAAAAAAAAAGACAGTTCAACCTGCAACACAAAAAGCTGGAGAAGTTTTACAAGGGATGGTTTCATCCATGAGTGCAACCAGGAAACTTAGATGCTGAGCCAGTCATTTGACTGAGAGAAGGACTTTGGAAGAGAGGATCTCTGGGTCAGGGAAGAAAATCATGTATGCATCATTTATACAGAAAATAACAGAGACAAGGGAAATGCATTGTAGAGAGACATATGTGAAATATAGGAAGAAAGAGCAGGGATAAGCTGGGTTCCCAAGAGCCCAAGTAGAAGGATAACTAGAAACAAAGGAAGATGAAATGTATTTGAATGTACCTGCTGAAGAGAGAAACTCGAGTGTTTAATGTGCCCTCCATTCTCTGTCAGATATAAAGGCTACAGAGGTGAGCATTGGGGATCTACTAAAGAAATGTTTCAAATGGCCACCAAGTTAAATATGGAGAAGGAGCTGATCGGAGATACATTTTTTTTTTTTCATATTGTCAAAGAATATTCAGGGCTTGCCTTCAGTGGGATGTTATAAATCTGAGGTGGTATCGAGCGATAAGATTTGTAAGTATAAGTTTATGAGTGAGGTTGAAGAAAAATAAAAGGGACTGAAGGGAGAAACAAGAATAAGAGGTGCCCATGGGAGTGGCCAGGAAAAGAAGACTGCTTCCTCTCTCTCTGACCGCAGTTTTTATCGGAAAACCCTGCTTGAAGTGAGCTAGGAAAATTCTAGCAATCACCCATAGTTCTCCTAGTCTAGCTTATTTTAACAGAACCGGGGCAGTATTGTTGCTGTATGAAACCATGGAACCTTTGGTCAGGCTGCACCAAGTCTAGGTTTATTGACCTCACCTGTTCTGATTGAGGCTGACTGAATTATCTATTGGCAAGGCGCTGTTCTTATAGGTACATATGCACCATTTATGCTTCACTGAAAATGGGTGCTGTATCTCAGAGTGATTCTTAGCAATGAAAGGTATCCTTGCCTGTGATGTGAGAAGCCTCCAGAGGCTGGAGACTTGATCATCATCTGAAGAATGTCACTTCTGTCAGGAAGAACTGCTGATGCAAATTTTTAGACCCTTAAAATCAAGTATGGTGGCAGAAATGTTGAGTAGGAAGAGAGGGTTTTTTTTTTTCTTTTTTAATTAAGCTGAAATTGAACATTTAAGGTGACTTTTCAGGTACATTCTAGTAAGGGCAGCATTAATAGTGAACCCATGGGCCCTATTAAAGGACTAGAAGCCTGTCAACTCTAGGTCACTAGCCAAAGCCCAGTGGAGTTAGCTATAATCAAAGGTTTTCCCTGCCTGACATTTGAGGCACAGGCTTTGCTTTGAATAAAGGGATGTTTTCCCATCATTCAAAAGCTACCTTCACATAGAACTAATTGGTAGTTTAAACCAAAAAGTCAGAGAACAGGCTATTGTAACACTTATGATATCACAACACTTACTGTCACCTTTCAGGAACCACTGTTTTGTCATTGAAATAGCATTTTAAAAATATGATTGCCCTACTTTCTTCTTTTTTTTTTTGAAGAGTTCTTGAAAGATCCAACCCAAACTTTCTCCTAAATTTGTGTTCCACATAAGATATTAACAATTATAAGATGGGCAGTCAATAACATCAGCTTATGATTATTCAACATATTGGAAACTGAATGAAGCCTGGGAGTGGCGTGGCATTTCCCAGCATTGTGAACCATGAGCCATAAATAGATATCGCTGCTTCTGACACAGGTGGTGCACTGTGTTAAGAGAGATGGGCATAACATCTTTTCCTACAGCAAAAGCAAAAGAAAACATTCACTGTAGACGATGCTAATGTGTCCATTTCTTTGTGGCCATTTTCAGAGGCATTGTACAGTCAGAAGAGAAACTTGTCATCAGTGCATCTTGGGCAAAAGACGATGACATCAGCAGACTCTTGAAATCGTTGCCAAACTGGACTAACATGGCTCAGCCCAAACAGCTGAGGCCCAAGAGGGAAGAGGAAGAAGACTTCATAAGGTAAGCGTCTACTTTCTAAGCTACATTAGACAGAGGTGGGGAGCCCCATGTGTTCATCACATCCTTCCTCAAAGCAAATAGTGATTGATGATTCTAAAGATGAAACAGAACTTGAAAAATCTGTTTCCCTCCTCACACACCTCCTTTCCCATGCAAGCACACCTTGGGCACAACTGACAACAAGGAGCGGTGAACCCAATCTAAGCATTGCCAAGTTGGGATAAAATGTCTCAGGTTATATATAGAAATAATATAGTCATTTGTTCATTCATTCATTCATTCATTCATTCATTCATCCATTCATTCAGCAAAGCTCTACTGACCCTGTTCCTTGACAAACTGAGAGTAAAATACAGTTCAACAGAGTATGTCATGGCACTACAAACACGTTCTCTAATTTCCATGTTCATTCACACAGACTGTATTGTCTTCCTCTTGGTTTTAACAAAAGTAAAATCTCTCCTCTAACTTTTTCATTCAACATTTTTCTTTGTACAATTTATTTACTTAAACCATGGAATCTGATGAAGCTGCACATTTTCCTACGTCTGGCTTGCAACAGTAAACTTTTCACTTACATCATCATTGAACTGTGTAAATAGATCAATGATGGCAACGGTGCATTATCATGTTAAAATTAGCTTCATTCTTATTATCTTTTGTTTACCTGGGTGAAAAAAAAATAGATGGTACAATGATATAAAAAGCACTTTTAAAAATTAGAGACCAGGGGCTGGGAAAGGGAGGAGTATCTGAAATCTTAGCACTCAGGAGATGGAGTCAAGAGGGTCAGGAATTCATGTATTTACCTATCACCGTATTGTGAGTTCCAAACTGTCCTGACCATTTGAGACCCAGAGTCACAAAGAAAAACAAGGAAGAAGCAGCAAAGACCAAAAATTAAAATAAATAAATAAATAAAAAAGCAATAGCTATTGTCTTACTTTCAGTTTATGATGAAACAATAGGCTCATCTCTGTCACTCAGAATGTAGATTGAAACTGTAGATAATGTGGCTTAAATGAGAATTTCCCCCATACACTCAGGTGGTGGAACTGTTTGGCGTTTAGGAGGTGCAGCCTAGGAGCAGGCTTTGAGAGTCATGGACTTGTTCCACCTCCAGCTCATTCTCTCTGCTTTGTTTTTTGTGGTTGACAATGTGATCTCTAAGCTCCCTCTTACTGCCCTCTGCTGCCATTATTAATTCTCCCTGTAGAACCATTAATAGCTTTTCTGTATAGCAATAATAGGTTTCTCTGCCCCACACAGTAAGCCAGATCAAGCTGAACTGAAAAAGTAAATGAACAGGTTTATTGGAGCAAAGCAACCTCTGGGTGAGTCCTCCAGTCCCAGAGATCAAGGCCAGAGGAGTTATGTGCCCAAAATAAAGCAGGGAGCTTTTATAGCCCATAGATTAGGGGTGATGACATACCATACTCTGGGTTTGTGCCCAAGTATGTATGGTCAAAAGCTGAGCACTTTAGGTGGGGACTTGGGCTGCTAGAAACTTAAGGGGAGGAGCTGCCATAGCCACCAAGAATGTAGAACTGGTCTTTTGGGCACCTTTTCTTTGTTGGAGATTCTCTAAGAGAATGGGTTTGGAGAGAGAGATAGGGCTTCTCAGACCTTACAGGATCAAGCTGGAGGTCCCAACCATAACCAAAATAAACTCTCCTGTCCATGGTATTTTATCATAGCAACAGAAAGCAACTAATAAAAAACAGACACCCACACTCACACATACCATATACATACAATACACAGAGAGAGGTGGGGGGAAGGAGAGAGGAGAGGGGGAGAGAATGCTTAAAATAAATGTCTTTAAACAATCATGAAATAGAGTAGGCCTAGAAGTTTGCATCCTCACAGTGGTCTATCAGAGTTCCTGTTGGTTTGTGTGTCATCAGGAATGAGTGTCTTCCATCTCTTGATGGTAGCCATTCCAGTATGGGTGTTGAGATAAGTTGATGTCATTTAGTATGCATGGCTCTCATGGGTGATACTGAGCAATTTCCTGTGTATTTTTATAAATTTAGTGGCCTTCGTGGTGGGTGTGTGTCTGTGTGTATGTCTCTGTGTGTGTGTCTGTGTGTGTGTGTGTGTGTGTGTGTGTGTGTTTCAGATCTACTGCTTAATTTTAATTATGTGGGGGGGGGCGTTTCCTAGTGATTTATAGGAGTGATTTGTATCCCTGGTTGCTATTCCTTTCTTATAGATAAACCAGTATTCTCCCACTTGACAGATTGCCTTTCTACTTATTCATTGGGTCTTTCACTCTCTATAGACTGTCTATAGTAAATAAATATAGTTTATTTATTGTTTGTTTTATGGATTGGGCATTTTTTTAGACCATTTGCTTATACAAAAGTCAGAGAGGAATGTTCTTGGAAACTTCGATGTAGTGGTTCCCCGGCATCTGAAAACAAAAACAAAAACCTTAATTTTTAATTATATTCTTCTGTAACCTAACTTTTTCTCAACTGAGATTATGTTCTTATGACTTTAATAGTAGTAAATATCCTCATATCTACCACCACAAGAGATAATGAATGATTGAAGGATTGATTAGCACTGAAGTAGATATATATAACTAACTGACCTTAATACAGAAAGCAAGCCCCAAGGTGCTATGCTTTCTCAGAATTGCTGTGCAATCATCATTTTACTGCATTCTCAAGAGGTCTGAGTAAGCACATTCCTACTCCTCCTTATAACTGTTCTCATTTAACTGTATGTATTAACCTCAGTAGTTGAATTACAAGCGATTTCTGGATGATAATTTCTTTTGCACCAATATTTCAAATGATCCTGTGTCGTCTTATTGTTCATCAGTTTATTTTTATGTAAGAACTTCATTGTAATATATGCTTGCAAAAGATTGTTAATCAGCTGTGTTAGTTATCTTCTGTAACTCAAGGTAAAAGATTGTTAATCAGCTGTACTAGTTGTCTTCTATAACTCAAGGTAAAAGATTGTTAATCACCTGTATTAGTTATCTTCTGTAGCTCAAGTTAAAAGATTGTTAATCAGCTGTACTAGTTGTCTTCTGTAACTCGAGGTAAAAGATTGTTAATCAGCTGTACTAGTTGTCTTCTGTAACTCGAGGCAAAAGGAAACAGTTCTATCCAGAAAAGAGATGCTGAACCAGGAATACAGCCTCTCTCTGACACTGCCTTGGATTTAAAAGAGCTGGAATTAAGGATCCAACTTTCTGTACTCTTGTTTTGATCATTCAATTAGACTATTCTTCATATTAAACTCAAAGGAAAAGCCAGTCACATAAATATTTCCCCATTTTTGGTCTCAATGAAGTATATATGATTATGTCCATCTAACTAGATCAAAACATCAAATTCCCCTAGTGTCCTTCAAAGATCTACCATTAAAGTCAGCCTCATTCCAGTCATCATAGTTTAGTTTTGCTTGTCCTCATATCATTTCATAAATTTGACCATAGTATCTGGCTTATTTTACTGATTTATGCCTGAGATGTTTGATCATGTTTTTTCATATGAACAGGGTTTGAAAAACATCATAAGAGAATAAATTTTTGCTGGGTGGTAGTGGCACATGTGTTTAACTCAGTGCTCCAGAGGCAAAGGCAGGGGAATCTATGAGTTCAAGACCAACGTGGTCTACAAAGTGAGTTCCAGGATGGCCAAGGCTAAACAATGAAACCTGTCTTGTAAAACCAGAAAAAGAGAGAGAGAGAGAGAGAGAGAGAGAGAGAGAGAGAGAGAGAGAGAGAGAGAGAGAGAGAGAATGAGTGAAGTTTTCATTTTCATTTTCTTTAGATGTGATTGGTTCTTTCCTTTTAACCTGTATCTAGATTAGAAGTTGAAACCAAGTAAGTAGGAGAGAGACCCTTCACTGATACTCCAGTGTGGCAGAGTTGACAGAGGGCTTGATTCAGCACATTAAAGTACCATACAGCACTACATGAGCCAAAAGACTAGAAAGTCACCCTTCTCCTATAATTAGTTTTTAAAGCTCAGAAGACTATTTAGTGAACAGATGAATATAGATCCAGTGCCCTTTTCAATGAATAGAGGCTATCTATGCTCTCTTCATTATTAAACGAGTCCTTTTCTAGTCTTGTTTTTTAACTAAAAAATAAAATGTATTATTTCCTGGTTTAGCTTTGAATAGGAGAAAAAAAAATAACTAGGTCGAGCAAGGGCTGTAATAGGAATAAAAAAGCTATTGCCCTTTTGTTCCCAAAGAAGCTAAAAGCAGGCTCCCAAGCCCATTGTCTTTGGACCTGTGTGTGTGTGTGTGTGTGTAATATATATATATATATATATATATATATATATATATATATATATATATGTATGTATGTATGTATATTATATAGTTGGGGAGATCATAAGAAGATCCCTAAAACCTGGTACTCTTTTTACTTATGGCCCCTGAATTTTAAAGAATAAGAATCATTTCTCTAGAGCCAGCTCTGGAAACTTTTAAGTTTGATTGGCAGACGAGAATCTGAGTCTTCAAGTGATAAAGGCCAAACAATAAGTTTGAAACCTACAGATTAGTCTTGAATTATAGCAGACTGATGGCAAATGATAAAAAGTAATTATCTAGGCCAGCATTTTAATGAAAAGTAAGAATTGTCAGTGCCCAGCAGTGTGTGGTACATTATTAGTCTCTGTTAGCATCTCCATTCAGCAAATGAGGAAACTGAGAGAAAGAAACTTCTTCCTGTACACAGGCATTGAGTGACAGAGCTGGAGTTTAGACCTAGGTAGTCTAGCCTGCAGAGCCACCACACTGTGGTCAGCCAGGCTAAAACTGGACTTTTTATATGCCCCTTCACTGTCACTGATTATCATAATCCTGACTGACAGACAGCATGAAGGCACTTTGACTCTACGCTTTTTATTATTGTGGTTTTTAAATTTATTGCTTTTTTGTGTATTCTCTCCATCCCATTAGCAAGTGTTCAAATAGCATGTGCCCAGATGTGTCTGGGAGGAGCAGTGTGTTCCAGTGCC